CGCTGCAAAGGCAAGAAGTGACTGGCTTACAAGAGGTAACCTAGATCCAGAGGGCGTGGAGGAAGGTAGAATCTCCACTGAGTAGTATCCAATCTGGGTGGGGCCGATGAAAGGAGATGGGGATAGCACTCATGTGGCACAATAGTGAATAATTGCTATCCGAACTGACTGTGAGGGCTGGAATTGTAAAGGTAAATGTTTCGTAGCAAAAGGAAGGGAGTAGTTGACTTTGCAGTCTAGGAGCGGAGGTACTTGGAACCATCAAGAGAGAAGAGCAGAGTGCAGGACCCTACTCAGAGAACCAATGATGCCAGAGATAACGTGGAGAAATGGAGCGGCTGGGGACTCTAGACCCAGAGAGGGAGAGGGGCTGTGTGCTGGTGGCCAGGGGGCAGGCTTGCAGGGTATATCCTTTGGTTGATTGATGATGCATGGAGGGGATTGTAAACATGGCAATGAAACGATACACGATTAGGATGAATGTAAAGCTAATGTTCTCCCATGTAATGTTCTCCCTTTACAATTATCACATAATTCACAATAAAACTTTTTTTTAAAGTAAAGACAATTAGCCCACAGGGCCATTACTATCAGGCAGTGGCTAGTTTTGGCCTAAAAATGACATTTGGTTAATAGGCCATGCAATGTGCCCTATGTTATGCAACGTGCTTCAAATGATAGGTTCAGGGTCTAGAGACTTTAGGGATTTCTGCATTCTAAATCTCATTTTAAAACTTAGACATAATTTCTATTTGGGGGGAAAATATCACACAAGAAAAAATAATTTAGGAAAAAAAGGCAATTCCTTACTTAAGGAATAAAGTTCTGGGTTTAAAGCATTGGGCTGCTAACCAGTACATGTTGGTGGTTCAAACCCACTAGAGAAAGATAAGGCAGTCTGCCCCCCTAGAGATGTACAGCCTTGGAAACCCTATAGAGCAGTTCTCCCTTCTCCTATAGGGTCACTGTCTGTTGCAATTGACTTGATTGACAGCAGTGAGATTTTTTTGTTTTATGTAAAACTTGAAAACATTTTGAAATATGAAAAAAAATTGTATTCTATGCATAATTTTTATGCATATAAAATAATTTACTTAGATTTGATACATAATTTTTTAGTTTTTACTTTAAGAAAAAAAGTGGTGAGGGAAAGTTTCTTAATTCCTTAGACCCTTTTATAAAAGTTGCAGCTGACACCAGAGATCACTTCTTGCATGTATAGCCACCAACTCTTAAGTACAACCAGAAAACCAGAATTATACCTAGGAATTAAAATTTTACCTAGGTAAGTTCTGGCTGTGTTCATTTTTTTGGGGGGGGTGGGGGGGGTTAAATACACAATTACATCATAAAACACTGTCTTCTGTAACTTGGGAAAATTCTCAAGAGTATACTTCTGCTTCCATAATATAAGGAAGTAAGAAGAGGAAATGTTAAAATGCTTCACTGTCTTACGAATATTGTTTTCCTTGCCTACTACTGTAAAATAAATAACACTTGAATGAGATAGAATGCCGGGAAACATGATTACAGAAAGCTTATAAGCCCATCATCAGCCTATAACTCATTGGAATAATTAAAAGTAGTTCTAGAACTTGCCTAGTGAAACAGGCTTCTAGAGGAGCCCTTGTAGTGTATAGGATCTTAGGTGGAATCCTGAGCCTCATCCAGAACCTTCTGAGGTGGGACATTCCCACTTGAAAGGACATACAGACCAGCCTGGGGCAGCTAAAGGAACAGAAGATACTTCTTGAAAGAAAGACCAGCAGGAAAAATCAAAAACAAAAATGGCAGTCTGATTGGCTACTATAAGAACAAACAAGTTGTTTACTGGGGAGCCATCAAGGCAAGTAATCAAGTCCCTTCAGGACAACCCCCCTCCAAGACTAAAACTCAAAGAGAATACACAAGCAGGCAAGTAAGCTTGCTGGTGACCACATTGGTCTACATGTGAGTGGAATTTGGGAAAAGTCGGTAATGAAGATATGGGCTGAGTTCGACCATTGCCATCAGTTTGTTAAACATCTCAATTGGTATTCTGTCAATTCTGGAGGCTTGTTTATTGCCAATCTGTCTTCAGGTTAGAATTCTTCAGTATCAGCAGTTCTTAAATATATGCTACCTCCTGAAATGGTAGAATTGTTGCCAAACTGAAACGAAGGTTTGCCACCTGTCACTGTAATCAATCACAGAGATGGGGAAAGATCCTACCCAAGCTTAATTAACAGAAAGCCAGCAGTCTGGAAGACAGAGAAGAGGATCCCTCAAGTCTGTCCTGACTCATAAAAACAAGCACATTCCACAGGGC